GAGTAATAAGCTGAATACAACTCAAAAAATGAGAGTAGGTTCTAAAATAGATCAAAAGAGGAAATTAAAAGGTCAAAGGTCATGAAACCATCAAACTTTGTAATTAAAAATCTAGGAAACTACAGATATCAATGTAAAAGCAGTCTTTCAATTGCTGAGCACAAAATATCGGGTTTTATTTGTTAGTTGATCACTTTGAATGATCTCAGTCCAACGAGATTATATGGAGCACTGAGTGAATGCCAGGCGACTTCAATACCTAATACTAATTGATGTTGAAGATTCAAATTTTACGGAATACATTCAGAAATGCAAACTACAGCCCCCTTCTTCGTTCTTTCAATATTAAGAGTTGAAAACCTGTTCATTTATGATTACCCACATGAGTTTCTAGTCTAGTGAAAGTGAACTATTTTGGAGGCTGTGTAAGCGTTTCTCGGTGCAGCACACAGTCTGTGTTCAGTTCTTGTATTCATTTTATCATCTATTAAGGTGTAAAACGACAGATTTTTTGTCAGCTATATGGCACTGAATTCTTTCATCCTTCTTATCGTGCTCATCAATGCATTTTTCTAAATAACCGTGTTTGCACAGGTAGCATTCGAAAAAGGCTAGTCCCTTAATTTTATTTTCAGAATATACTTTAGGCGTACGGTTGAAAAATGTTCCTACCGGACATCTTTCGTAACTAATTATCCAAAAGCTGTAGAATTATTATCTATATAAATTTTGGACATTGTTGTAGAATGTAATTCCACACATTTGTTTATTTGATGTATTATAGCACATAGAGATATAGTGACGTCTCGAGCATAAATTATTGCTCATAATCATATCACTAGGACCACACCAACAACTGCTTTTGATAGTTATGTCACCTAATATTTTGTTTTTATTGGTAGTAGAATTTTCCAGACCATGTGTATGGGTGTTGCGTCATCCCTATTACATGTGTTGGGTGTTGATCAGATGGGAAAAGACTCAGACACCCTATCTCCATTTGATTATATTTGACTTAAGTACAGCGGTTTATCCCACTTTATTGTGTGGTTATGTGTTAATGCGTGCATTGCAACCACCGTTTTCTTTAGATTACTGACAATCTAATTGGTCCCGACTGGCTAGTTTGACTTATGTACTTGACCTCGCAGTTATTGCATGGAATTTGATAGATTAGATTATTGTTCTTAATTGGATATATATATATATATATATATATATATATATATATATATATATATATATATATATATATATATATTAATGAAATGTTAAACGATATCCCACACGTGTATCATAATATTTGTGGTAAGTGCCCAGTCTAACAAGATGTAATAACTGAAGTGAGCGACAGCTCTGAGCCCCATTAAACCTACCTGTGGTTGGACAATTAGGTGGTGCTACAGCAAGCTTCAATCAATAAAATCACTAAAATCTTGAAAACCTTGTGACATTTCTGCTTGATCTCTTTTGCTCAACTAAGCCGTAAACACACAATAACTTATCTACTCAGACTTCCATGATGCACTTCCGATGCATAATAGGCACTCTTGTCAGCCAATCAATAAGAAGTCAGTGATGTTTTTGTTGGTTCATGTGGTATATCTGACAGATCCTTGAGTTCATCAACTATCATACAGAACAGGGCGCATTGCCAAGCGAGTCTATATCAATTCCGCACTGCATATCACTTACCCTGATTGGATCCCACGTCTGATAGCTGCTACCTTGGCGTAGAGATTGGGGTTACATACTACAATGAACAATGAGCTACACTGACTAGAACGCGTTCCCTCAAGGTCCTGCCATGCCAGAAATATCTATTGGATAGTGTTAAGACAAAAAGCAGTTGTCACTGCAGTACAAAGTGCTACGCTTTGACGGGGTCCAAGGGCGAAATCTTTGTACTGGCTGCATCGGGTGCGATACCAGCAAGCTGTTTCCTTAGGATGATCATCAGAACCATGCTAATGCCACCTTCCCTACGAGGAAACGTGCGCCTCTAAAATAACACACTTTCACATACCCTACGATTTTTCTGTTCAGGCAGTACGCGATTTTTTTGTCGAGTTAAAATAATCACAAAGCATACCGAAAATCCTAAAGGGCTGTGTGCAACAATCATATGTCCCACTGAGCCTGAGGTCACAAATCTTTCTCTTTCAGATATTTTCCAGAAACAAATTCCACGGCGTATGCAACGGGGAGGTGTCGGCCGCTTCCATGTTTCTAATAGACACAAGATCCGACCAGACGTAACCTGTCCTCCTCCTCTCTTGCTCAATTTCACCTCCTCGAAAATCTCCCAACCCCTGAAACTGCGGCCATTGCCAACGACCAAAGCTAGAGAAACACTACTCATAAGAACTTGCAATCAATTTCATGTAGCAGTTTTCTACGCCTGGATCCGATACCAGGCATCGCTCACCAGAAGTCTGAAATCTCGAGCCAGGGCTGTACGCTGTCTCCAAGACACATGTACAGAATTCGAGTGTGATTATTATATTGATTATACTAGGACATTGTAGTGAGTCCCCGAAATTCACATTACGTGTATATGGAGATCTATCGGCTGGCTTCAGTGGACTTGCTAGTGTACGTATAGGGACAGCAACATTGAGTCGAGAGTAGAAAGCGCACTTCTCAACTGGACACCAGTCAACAGCCGTCTGTGTGCTGTTCAACTGAAAGGATTTGCAAAACTAGGAAGGATCGAAACACTTAATATTGTTTGGTCGTATTCATCGTTTACGCGCCCGCCAAATGCAGTTCGAATGATACGAAGTATGATTTCTACTAAGAGCTATCGATTTTTTTTTCCATAGAAAAGAAAATGATAAAATATAGTTCTTCTAGCAGGCGAATTCATCAATAAGGTAATAAAATCGAAACAGTCGGAAAAGTATCTTGTATGAATCTGCGGAAGCCATGCCAACGAACCGAAAACGGTGATCGTCTCAGGCGATGTTTTTCTTGAAAAATACCAACGTCATGCATGAAAAGACATCATTTCACATGGCGTCCAGCAACATCAAACCAACGATTGGCACAGATAGATCATATTACTACAAGCCACGGTTAGAGAGAATAGATAGAGGATTGCCTCTCACCCCACCTAGAGTACCATCACACGTAACTACAGACACGCGTATGTCTGCGCTTTACTAGTCGCGAAACGCATACCAAACATATTAAGATTTCTGCTCAACACGTTCAGAACACCCTACATCTCGTCAGTGTCTTCAACAACATCGTCTGCATACTCCAAATCGACCACATGACCCCCAGGGAGTAGATGGATCCCCGTGAAGTCAGATCTGCCTAAGGTCATCGCCACTAGTTTGATAGGAACAGCGACAGTAGGCATCCCTGGAGAACACCACTGGTTGTCGTCAATTCTGATGACAACTCTCCATAAGCCCTTACACGGCTGCATGAGTTCGAGTAAAGAGCTTTGATTAGCGTTATATACTTGCTCGGTACTGCGCTCACAGTCAAACACTGCCACAAAACCACTTCTTCAGGTCGAGAAATGTGACAAGTGTCGGCCAGCCATTGGTCGCTAGGTACGCCTGTGCTCCAAAAGCTGGCGGAGGGTGATACACTCTAATCCAGGTACGAAACCTGTCTGGTTTTCTCGGCTTTGCTGTTCTAGAGCTCCGGTTAGGCTCCGGATATCTACGGAACTTAGGATCTCGGATACAATATTAGTCAAACTAATTCCTCAACGGTTGTTACAAGATTTCCCTCCCTTCTTATAGAGTAGGATGACCAGTGACGTAGACGAATCTTAAGACACTTCCTCTGATTCTCATACACTACGCAGTACCTCAGTCACTTTACTTAGCAGTTCCACACCTCCATCCCTGAAAACCTTAGATGGCGAACTGTCAAGTGCTGCTACTTTGCATCGTTTCAGGTTCGATACAACTTTCTCAGTTTCCAACATAGTTGGAGGACCTATATCTATCTCCCATTCATGTTCATGGTGACTGGACGTTCAGCAACTGAAAGCGTTGCTAAGAGCATAAGTTTATATTCTGAATAATGAAGTAATATATAAACACTTACAATACGACCAACGATTACAGTATTTCTGGATTTCCAACTCAAAAACTGAGTTTCTCGATAAAACAATTAAAAGTATGAACAATAATTAGCAGTTATAGCCTCTAAATTCACCTTTAGCCTATCCATCAGTTGAAAACCAAAACAGTCATAACTATCAGAAAGCAAGTGACCTTTATTTGCTGAACACATTCTTTCATAATAAGTCTGAACATGATTAAAATGCACCTTTGTTGATTATTCGGCAAAAATCAAATCATTAAATAAGAAGCCCACTGAAGATGCAGCATCCAGGAAGATGTTACAATAGATTTGAATCACTTTAAATAGTGACAGTAATAAATAAGGCAAAATATAAGAAAATCTAGATGTGTGGGCACGTACGTATAGACAATAGAGACGATTAAAACGAATTTAACAACTTCGTCAAAAGGTAATAAAACTCAGTGGACTTTAAAATCACAGCGCTGTTTTTGTGACTGAAAGGTTAGAGATTAAATAGGGGACGTAAACACATGCACAAATTGGATCAAATATAAAAGAGGCAAAACATGAAAAAAGCAGTAAAGAGTCCTCTTGGTTATGTGAAATGCTTATTATGTACATGACTGGACACTCGCAAGTTTAGTCTCTTTACTTCAAAAACTACGAGTGGATCTGTTTGCTAATGAGTTCTACAGCATTTTGTTTACATGTATACACACCTATTATAATACTGATAACAGTAATAATAGTAATGGAAGATAAAACTCGGGTAGATTTTTTTCTTCAGTAAATAGAATAGAAGGAATAAAAAATAGAATATTCAAGTATTTACACAGAAATAAAGTCAGTCACAAGAGAGAAGTTGAAAGTACGATATATATATATATATATATATATATATATATATATATATATATATATATATATAATGTACAAACTATATCTACCTATTTTGAGCGTTTAGAAGTCACTGCATGACGTTTATGTGCTTGAGATGAGCGGGGAAAACCATTACCACTTGGGCTATCTGAGTGCGTAACCTGAGACACAGCTGAGGTTGGAAAGCTATGCAACGCCCCTTGATGTGGTTTTTCGGCGGCTTTGTGAACACTGTTTTTCTCCCCACAGATATGGTCTTGGGAATTGCATTTTTCAACCGGGAAAACATTTCCGTGAGAACCAAAGAGTATGGTACGATCGTCACGGACAGTTGCTGTTGATGGTCGTTTTGTACAGTTACCTGAGTCGGGTCCCAAGGATGTTAAAGCACGTAAACAGCGTCGTTTCCGACCCTGGCGAGGCTTACGGGTTGATGTCACTGCAGATTTCAACGAATCATCAGTTGAGATTGAAATCTGGTGCTTTTCCACTTTATTATAGGTGGTTAAGGAAGCACTGAAACAGATTGTAAAAAAATCCACGGATCAACAACAGCCCTGTTAGGAAATATTGAAGTAGTATTAACATTAGTTAGGGGATAAAGCACTGCTTAAAGAGATATTAAAATATATATTAAACAGCAACAACTGCATATGAAAAAGGGATGACTACGACTCAAATAAAACGACATCGAACAACTGAGTGGTAATAACATAGAAACGAAATGAATTGCTTAGATCCATGCACATCCACTGAAAACCTTACTTAATGGAAAGTCAATTGATTTGCAGTAATGCAAATTCAATATGATCCCATGGTTAATGATGTAACTTAAGACTGAGGATCTTTAATACACTAAGATTGTACAATATTGTAGCAATAGAAAGTACCACCGCGTAATTAAGCCCCTTAGTATCCAATTACATACAAACATGAATGATGCCTAGTTGCTCAACATTGAAGTAGGCTTAGGCTTGGTAGGATCGATCTACAGATGCGGAGCATGAAAGTTGAGTGTCTCAGCGAATAAGCCACATCACAAAAAGATGCATCAACTTGGGATACTATACATTTATGAAGTATAACGACCTAAACCATTAAAAAGGTAAAAATGATCTATCAACGATCAATGTTACCTGAGGTTATCAAAAACCACATTAACACTACTTGTACTACTAACCAGTATATACAAATTACAGGTTAACTGAACTATGTCTCAAATCTAGCAACATTTTTAGGATGAAAGCGTTTCCAGTGACCTTATTAATGTAAAATACTTGTGTGTGAATGGACACAAATGAACTTACAGTGCATCTGCCAGTACACTGTATTCTCCGGGTTCTTCAACGTCAACTTCATCGTTAGTATCAGTTTTACAATCCGTCCCATCAGCAGAAGAGTTACAATTGATCACTTCGACCTGTTCATTACAGCTGTTCAAACTAGCAACACTGCCAGCTTTCACCATGGAGATATTCATTTGGGACCGAGAAACATTTTCATCAGTGAGACGGTTATTTTGTGCAAGTGATGCAACCGATACGTGCGGTAAACTGGCATTGGGATTGGAGGACAATATAAAAATTGGTATGTCATGCCGTCCATTAGAAGGAGCAACTGGTAATGACTGTAAAGTAGAACCGTTATTTTGTTGAGATGACGTACAGTTAGTTTCTCTGACTGTATTCGGATTGGCCTGTGAGAACCAGGAAGCCGAAGGAAAAACGGACGCTTGTGATCTGTTGCTTGTACTCGCTGACAGCATTTTCATGCTAATTGGCAGTGAAACCTGCAGTCGGTGACCATATTCTTGGATTCTCTGACGGAATTCAATTGACTTCTGTAAGCATTAAAGAAACGAATTAACAAATGTGATTAACAACCGTGAACATACAACCAGAATTAATACACTTAACAAAACAACGTTTGCAGCATAAAATAACGATGTGCTTCACACGAATAGTATCACGTACACAGTGAGCTCAATGCAGACTCTTATTTAGAAAATGTAATTAGTCAGAAGGAAGACCTAATTTCAACCACACGTGGTTTTGGCCATTTCAAATCAACAGTTTTACATTGCTATGTGAATTATGTAGACAGGAAATTCAATAGTTGACATCTAACGAAGCAACATCTAAATCAGGAATTTGTACATCAAGATCCATGAATAGGACACTTTTAACCGTCAATCTCAGGACCACATTCTTTTGTCTACTCATTCGTAACTACGTGACGGATAAACTACACCACTGAGTCACATCGATGTGCATATCGCTTTACTTGGTCCTGTGTGTTCGTCGTAATTTACGCACTATCCAGCCTTGCTGGAAAAAGGAAAACGAAATGCATCCCAAGCTGTGTAACAGAAAAGCTAGTAAACTCTGGACACATCTTTTTTCATAAATCGCTTAAAAATTAGTAGTAAGTGCGACTTAGCTAATCCAAAGCAGTAAGAATAAGACGTCTGGGCATGTCTGAAACACCAGTAAACCCAACAATCATTAAGCATCCAAAAATGCATATAACCTATTTGTTTGCCATGGTTATCGTAAGGTTTGATGATTCTAAGTAACTCGTTCGTGATCTCAGGCTTGAACCATTTGTTCGTCTTTCTTACGTATTTCCCTTTCTGCAATTTGACCGTCGACAGTAAATTATTCGGGGACAGTCTATTCTTTAGAATATACGTTTGTAATTCTACAGTTAGAGAATGGGTTCGTCGACGAATAAGATTTTTTAAAGCTAAAAAGATCTTTTCTCTTCTAAGTATCACTAAAATTGCAAAATGCAGACTATCTGAAATAGCCTAGACGATATGTTGAGTAAACTATGCACTCAAAATTACCGTGTGGACGGATAAGTCCAAAACGAAACAAGTATTTCGTTTGAAAGCTACCGTTATCACTATCATCATTCACAACAACTCCTGGGAAAATAACTACAGGTGACCTAGTCAAAGTAGCTGCTTACGAGACAGAAAACTAATACAGCTATCAGCTGAATGTTTGAGTCTGGAAATATACCACCACTACTACTACGACTACCACTAACACCATAACTTGTCACAATCTACTTAGGAGGAAATGCCTAGAGAATCTGATCTAAAGCTCGAGACATTCTTCACAAGGTAGGCAAGTAGGTGTCTGATTAAAATATGCATGGGTCAAACATAATTTCTTATTAATACTGGGTGAAATGAAAATTTGGACCGCGGTCAGATTCGAAACAGCAACCACCGGGTTTCCGAGCCGATGCTCCACCAACTGAGCTACAGGGTCTGACTGCTGACTTCGAATCCGGCCCGCAGTCCAAATTTCTATTTCACCTTTAATCATCACCCAGTATCAATACTAGTCTGCCGAACCACAGCTATCTCAGATAGTCAATGATAATCAATAAGTTCTTATGGCAATCTCAGGTTATCCAGGAAGTAAAAGCCTTTAGTTAATACTATTACACTGATTTAAATTTGCACCACCTACACATGAACAAAAGACGTGACAAATAAAAAATGATTCCGTTTTTCAATCTATTCATCGGGAAACACTTAGTTCAAAAAATAGATGCCATACACCCAATACCTGAAATGATAAAATTATATTCTTGAGGTTTCGTTGCCCAATTTTACCAGTCCGACAGTCTAAGGTAATTTTATTTAGAAGCACAATTCACTGGTAACTTTTGAATTTTTTTTGAAATTCGACAGCGTATCATGGACATTTTAGGTTGGCGGTGCCACATAATAGAGTACAATAAGCGAATCTTTCTCAACTACTGAGAAAGGTAATCCAACCGAAGTAAATTAAACTTCTGCACTATCTTATTTAAAATGTTTTAACCCGGCTTACTTTAGAAACACGAATGATTCGTCCAAGTACTGAAACATCTGTATTACAATGTAGGAAATGATAATGAGGAAGTACAGCACTACTGAGAACAACATACGCATACTCGAAAGCTTGCTTGACTTGTAGAGCACAGTATGATCGACGACCAACATCGTTACCTATAAGAGAAGTTTCAGTGAGAAACAAAATAAGCAAAATAATTTAGAAAGTTTCTAATTCGGTTAAGAGACTGAAATACAAGCTAGTAAAATTTGCAACATTGCAGACATTAAGTTAATGATCTTATGTGACTGACTGACAAATTCAACGTAGAACCTCCCACACAAATGTGTAGGCTGAAGTTCCCACACTTAACAGTAGTATACAAAGAACAGGTGGATAGAAATAGACTTATATCAAAGTAGACGAAGTAGCATGAGAGGATAAGCAATCTGAAGATAAAGGCCAGACGGATTTTCAAGCTTCAGAAGATATCAGCAAGTGAATACATCTGCACCATTATCACCGACTATCAACAACGTCACCAAAAATCCTAAACGGTTGACTCCTTTCGTCTCGGGGACTTCAACCAGACACATCATCATCATCACTATTATCAACATAGGACCAGGCATTACTGCGTAACGGTCCGAGTTGCCACACCTCATATCAGCACATCAAGTAAAAAGGTAGTGAGGTGAAGGATGAAGATAAGTGAATGCAGTCAAAAGAAATATAAAGTACGAGAAGAAAGGAAAGAGGAGTGACAAAATAGTGAGATTCGGTATAGCGTTGTTAAGATGAGGATAATGTGTGTATACATCTGCGCCACTGACTTCGGTTCTGAGCCATATCACCTAGGGTCTCCAACCACTGGTTCCTCTTGTCCCGTGGACCCCAACCACCTAGTCTGCATCGTCCTACATGGCTTAAACCAACAGTCAGAGACTTCATACATTGGTGCCATGTTTTAGTCTGGCCACCTCGGGCCTTTTTCCAGCCTGAACCCACCTCAGCCAACATTGTGTGACGAGGCAATCGGTGACTAGGCATACGTAGTACGTGTCCCAACCATCTCAGTCGATGAAGGTTCACAACCTCGTCGACTGACTTACCTCTTCTCCCTAAAACTCTACACCTAACTTCTGCATTACTCACATGGTGACACCACGGAATACGTCCTATACTACGAAGGCAACGGTGGTCAAACACCTGAAGCCTTTTTGTATCTTCCACTTTCAATGGCCATGTTTCACAGCCATACAGTAGAACAGAGCGGACTGCTGTGCAGTACACGCGACCCTTAATAGACAAACGAATATCACGGCGGCGCCATAGGTGGCGCAAATTGGCAAAAGCCAATCGAGCCTTTTGTATCCGTGCAGAAATCTCATCGGCAACTAACCCACCGGGTTGATCCTACTTCCCAGGTAAGTGAAGTGGTCAACACACTCAACCACTTCACTCTCTATTGTTAACCGCGGTACCGCTGAAGACCAGTCCTGGAGCAAAAATTTGCATTTGGGTGGTGAAAATCGCATCCCAAACATTCTCAAATTCCCACTCAAAGTGTTCAGAAGACTCTGCATCTTGTCAGCGTCTTCACCTAACAGGACTATGTCATCTGCATATTCTAGATCTAAGGAAAATTCACCTGTGATCCGGTCAACGTCTTTGTAATTAGGTGACGAGAGGGAAACCTCCATAAGAATATCTATGATAAAATTAAATAAGAATGGGGATAGTGGGCATCCTTGACGGACACCACTTGATGAGTATAGCTCCCTGGACAACTCACCATAGGCTCTAACATGCCCACAAGTGTTCGAGTAGAGAGCTTTCAATAAGGTGATGTACTTACTAGGCACGCCTTTCAGTGACAGACACTGCCATAAGACTTCTCGATCAACGGAGTCAAATGCCGCCTTCAGGTCGAGAAATACAGCTATTGTCGGGCGTCTGTAAGCATGCCTATGTTCCAGGACCTGGCGCAGTGTGAATATTTGGTCGATACATCCACGGCCAGGTCTAAAGCCTGCCTGGTTTTCTCGGGCTTGCTGTTCCCGAGCTCCACTCAGGCGTCGGAGAATTATAGAACTTAGGATCTTAGACACTATGTTTGTCAGGCTGATTCCTCTGTGGTTATCACAAGAGGACTTCTCGCCTTTCTTGAAGACTGGGATGATGAGTGACTTAGACCAGTCGGAGGGGATCGTATTTGATTCCCATATACTGGCTAACACTTCCGTTAGCCTGACTAAGAGAACTCTACCACCATTCTTGTATACCTCAGCAGGTAGTCCGTCTGGTCCTGCTGCCCTTCCCCGTTTCAGGCTACCTACCGCTTTCTCAACTTCTTCTAGTGTTGGGGGACCTGTCTCTATGTCCCATTCAGGGTCCGACTGGATAGCGGGCAGCGCAATGGTGGCTGGAGGCCAGTTAAACTGTTCCTCAAAGTGTTCTGCCCATCGTCCCAGTCGCCTTCCCTGCGAGTGAATCGCCGATCCGTCCTTCTCCGCTATAACCTCACTAACTGTTGTTGACCATTTCCCCCCAGTCTCCTTAATAAGTCTAAATAACTGTCTACTGTTACCGATCGCCGCTGCCTTTTCCATCTCTTTAGCCTTTGCTGCCCACCACTGTTCACGATCGTTGCGCAGACTTTTCGTCAGTTTATTTTTAAGTTGCGCTCGCTCTTCATTGTACTCAGAGCCTGCAGGGATGCATTCACGTGCATCCATTAGTTTGGAAGAAGCTGCTGATATCCACTGGCTCTTTTTAGCCATTATCTTGGAGTCGGCTACAGTCTCCAGTGCTGCTTTTACAGTAGACTGAAGATGGCACCAAGCTTCTTCTGGATGAGTGACAGTCTTTTGTTCCGATAACTGCCTAGCCAACTTCTCACTGAACACGGCTTTGGTGTTTTCGTTGTCCAGCAGAACTCGTAGTGGTTTTGTTGCCAAATTTTTTCTACGTCCATTGAGACGCAGGCATATACGTGCTCGGACCAACGCATGATCGCTGTCCAAACACGTACTCCAGAAGGAGCGGCAGTCTTCCACCGATCCTCTCCAGCGATGACTAATAGCAATGTGGTCTATCTGTGTCCATCGCTGAGTCGAGCTCGGTGGACGCCAGGTCAGACAGTGCCTTTCTTTATGTCTGAAATTTGTGCTGGCTAAAAATAGGCGGTTATCTGAGCATAGTTGTAATAGGCGATCACCGTTATCTGTACGTTCAGCTGGGATTCCGAAAGTGCCACCTAAGTGCCTTTCTGCCTCACTCAGTCTACCCACCTGTGCGTTGAGGTCACCTGCAACAACCACTACGTCCGAACGTTTGGCTTTCGAGAGGAGGTTAGACAGTTTATGGTAGAACTCGTCCTTCACTTCATCCGAACTACAGTCAGTGGGTGCGTAAGCAGAGATTACAAAGAGACAACGGCGAGTCTCACTATTCCTTTTAGTTCTCACTGTGCCGTTCAGCCTCATAGCGCAGAGGCGACTATCAACTGGGATCCAGTCTAGTAGTGAGTTTTCTGCCCTGGTGCTTAATGCTATACCTACACCTGCAAGACCACGAGAGCTAGCTATCAACCAGACACTCTACATCCCCGCATACGGCTCAGTCCAACAGTCAGAAACTTCGTCGGCTGGTGTCAGATCTGTGTCTCGATGTTCTGAACCCTCCTCCAACCTAACCCAACTTTCCGTAGCATGCCACGTTATCTAATGAGCAACACCAAAAGTTTCAACGTTTTCGCACACGCTATCGTAATAGACAGAAGAAAAATATCTGGCTCATGAAAACCGAATTACATCCAACAATAATGATGATGGATGTCAACTGCGAAAGAGGGAGAGTTAGTTAAGAAAACTGTACAAAAAGTTTAAAATCTCAACTGATAGCTACTATCCTGAAGTTATGCCTGGGTTCGAATATCACAACCTAACGAGCCGCGCCAGTTCAAACAAGTTTACCTGAAGTTCAAACAGATCTGAGGTTTGTCGAATAGTGTTTTAACGAAAACCTTTTCCGTCATAGTTCAAATAGTAAATTTATGATGGGTACATGAGGTCGTAATTTAACTTTATCGGGATGGTATGTGTGAGTGTGGAGTGTGTTCTTTGCAAGCCGCAAACTGGGGTTGAGAAATGTCGGTAACAAATACAGTACACTATTAATCTTAGGGAAGAACTGGGCACTGTGGTAGAGTATAATTCCATATTAGACTTTATTCGATACGACACACAGTGACAGTATAATTTACTGGATGACGTTTCGAGCTAAATTTATTGCTCATTTTCATATCGAAGTAATCATACGACTTTTGAGTAAATTATACTGTCAGTGTGCTACATCAAGTATACATGCTAATATGAAACAGTACACTACTCTTTACTCTGCAATATTTCAGTGCCAACGGTATAAGTTCTTTTTTCCCAGTGTCAACACAATCAGATAATAATCTAAGGCTGTGGCCAGCCTCAACTCAGGCAAGTCTCGCAAAGCCTATCCTCTTTTTCAGGTGCATTTTAAACAAATCTCATGATGAGGTGTCTGAAAACACTAGCAGTACGCACGCTATCAGAAGCATGTAAAAAATCAACCAAACATAACTTACCCTACTCATATGTCACCGTTACCCCCGCTTTCTTATACTAATATCAATTTTTACGTGTAACTCAACATCACCCAACGACCACTGCTAACGATGAAAACCAGCAAAACACTAATTCCTAGTGTAGTAAAACCACACTACTAATTTCATTTTGGAATCTTCAACATCGGAGTTCCATGTCCCGGTAAACAAACCTGTAATATGGGGCCATGTAATATACTGTTTCTTGGGCACGTATACAAGACCCGAGTATGTTCATTCACTTGACCTCATCTGACTAGTGAGGTGTACCTTTAAAACCCACCTTACGAATATCTGCAGACCCAATGGCTAGCTCTCATGAAGTCCCTAGTGTACGTGTAATCGTAGCACTGAGTTGAGAGCAGAATGTACACTTCTCGAGTTAACACCGGTTAACAGCTGTCTTTGGTCTGTGCGACTGAATGCATTTTTAAGAACTAGAAAGGATTGAGATAGTGTTGCCTGCAGACTACTTCAAGCAACACTGCACGCCTGGGTAGCCAGTCAGTCAACTCATAGGTCAGCCATCTGAATAGATGACGGTTCAATTAATTAATGGTTGCAGAACCTTAGTAATCTCGTGGAAAGTAGGTCACTATCGCGTAAACGGACTCTTTACGTCTTCTCCTTTCGCAGTCACTTGTTTTGTGAATGTTGCTGCAAAGTATGGTGACTTGAAGCAAACACTTTTGTGCAACATTCTACGTTAATTTCAAGTCTCTGTCAGCATGGTTATTCTAATTAGCGGGATCATCATCCTCCACATAACTGCTATAACACCGTATATGTGTTCCCTTGTTATATTTCCGTCGCAAATCTCGGTCTGGTATATAATTCCATTTTGAAAATTCAAAAGCCTACCTTAAAGGATCTCTTAAACTTATGGAATAAAAGACACCAATGTTACCAAGCTTCCCAGAATACATAACCTGATGACAGATTTATAAGCAGTTTATTCATGAGTACTCAAAACGTCACAATCGATATCCTGAATTTGGCCATACTTACCTCATAGGTCCAGGTCGCACACTACGATTCAAAAACAGGTCTTGCACTACAGTTTTCGCATGAAAGATGTCAGCACGAATAATGAAGATTTGCAGGTCTGGACGAGAACTGTTCGATGTTCTCTGAGCTTCTGGATTTTATCTTGGACCTCCCACCACCAGGTTTAGCGACACTTACTTTGAAAAGTGCTCAGGGTGTTACCAAGCCTCGTGACAGACATCCACAAAATCCCAAAGTTTAGGGGACCATAAATTACGCTGGTGAATCAATGATCTATGTACCTGACTCTCAACTAGTGAGTCATAGCATCGGACCCATTTCCACCTACCGAGGTCTGGGTAGTAAAGAAGCATCATGAACTCTTATTCAAAAGTTGTGGCTTACTGCCTACTATACAAGCAAGCATGGGACCTATAAGTGCATTTCAATGTAATACAATGCAGTTTAAATCCATGTAACATTTATTTTTTCTTAAGTGAAGCTGGTTTCACAGAAACTAAAGCAGCACAATGCACACAAAATTAGTTGAAGGTGCAGGGTTAGTTATTTGGAAGCTGTGACCTCAAGGATATGCTGGGAAATTCTCACGAAGATTAGTGTCATAGGGTAACAGGGTGATGGATACTAACAGAAGGTTACACTTCGCCACTGACCAGTTATTTTCTAAATTAGAAAGACGGCTTAAAAATGGTATTATAAAAGGTATATAAAATATCCCATAAAAACTGAGACATACCGGGACATAGTGGATCTTCTATGCAAAGAAGTGATGGACGCAAACCTCTCTCCATATTTTGCTGCACAACTTCCTTGCGAACATAACAACCTCCGTTTGTAACGCGAATAGCGGCATTTAAGTAGTTGAAATGTCTCCCATAAAGTTCGAAAAACTCGACAAGAAGGATACCTATGTTGATATCATCAATGGAAACTTCGGGGCGTGATGACTGCTGCAATAGAATTTTGAAACTTTTAGGTACCGAGTTGCCACTTTATACACATTATACAAGGAAAAGAAATTCTTACTAATACATGAATCCATATAGATCTGGCGATTATTAACCTAGGATTTGAAACTAGTCAGTTAACGTCAGAGGAATAACAGGTTAGCGCGTGAAATGCAATTATATGTGCAGCGTAGGTTTTAACAACTCGAAACCAACCAAAACTTTGACTTATAAAGGATTACTACTGAAATCTACATGTCAGCAACCATGATCCTGATGTTGTGCATACGTCATTCGGTGCTTCAGGTTAGGAAATGGCTAATACACTGTCATATACTAAACATACCGGGAGCACTTTTTCTTGCCCCACCAGTAAGTCAAATGAATGTGTAGTATATGAAATGACCTTGCGCTTTCATTGCTGTTTTACACTTACTCCGAAGCAAGAATATCCAGCGGTTACAATCGCCCCTGTCGTGTATAACTGGGACACGGAATCAGGGGCATACATTTAAGCAACTTGGTCCATGATCATAGGTGACTATGATATGAGCTCTTACACTAAATTAACCCCACGACTTGTTTCGAATGAGAGCCCATTGATGTTGTACACCTAGGCGAACCAAGAACGCTTCAAAGCCAGGTCAGAGAGTGGTTTATTATGATTGGGATTGCTTCTATAGATGGGACCAATTTACACAAAAGCAGCTGACAAGGAATACAGGCTCCTACGAAGAAAAAGATAAGTTAGACATGGCACTATTTTGGTAATGTTTAGGGATTGAAGTGTAGGACATGAGAATGGTCTCAGGCAAATAAATAATACATAAAATTTAGACAAACGCATTCATGCACAAAGAAAATTGATATAGTTAGTTACCGACCGCGTACACTGAATGTTAATTACTTACTTGTAGGAAACTAACACACATCAAGATGAGTGCGTATGAGCTCAGTCCACCTGTCCATACTTCGTTCAAGCTACGCTGGAGCAAAAATTGTTTTAGCACGAACACCAAGTAAGGAAGGCAAGGATAATTTTTGATAAATGTCTTGATTAGTTCTGCTGCCCGGACACTATTGGTCATGTTGAAACTTATGTCCACACGGAGTTCCGTTTCTTTATCCGTCATCTTTACAATAGGGACCTGTAGATTGTGTAACCCAAGTCGTTAAAAAACTAACCGTAGCCTTGTCCAAAACTTTGATTTCAGAAGAAATCCCACTCCTAGATAATGCCTGCTCCAAGGTATGTAAGGGCAAGGCATCCCACTGGCCAAATATAACCATGTCAATATCACTATAGCTATGAAATTACAACTGAGTGCATACCTTGTAGGAAGGTATAGTCCCGTTTTAAAACTCCCAAACACGTCAACCTAAAGACTTAGATAGCGTGGCTTAAAATACTCACTTGACAATTCGGCCAAAGACCATAAACAACATCTTTCACCTTAGCAACTACTACTTCACGAACAAACTGTTCCTCAGGATTCGGAGAAATGTAGTCTATAAAGTCTTTCATCTCATTATGCAATCTGAACAATAAGAAAAGGTGAATACATACCCAATAGCACTAAATTGTATACTCTGCCTAGTGGCTTCCATGGTATATCGTCTAGCACAAACGTTTGACCCATTGGAAAACCATACTCCTTGTTATCAAAATTTCTGAAGGCAGAAGCCAGGCCAGCCCGACTGTATATGTCTTGAGTTGCCACACTTTCCATGGAATCACTAATCGAAACACCAACAACTCGATATCCACCAGGTGAGTACACCGTGCGGATTGCGTACTGTTCAATTTCAACGCCTGAACTAATCCAGGGATGCATGTCCAAGGGAATTGGACTTACCTGAATACATAACCTGAGACATTTTCTTACCACGATTATGACTGTTCATCCTCAAATTCTTGGTTGTGTCAACACTTCTTACAATTGTTTGTCTCATAAAGCCTCAATTTGATATTAACACTTACACGCTTCGAAAAAAGAAAGTGAACTTTTCCAAGCTTTTGAGATATTTGACTTTAGTTGCATAGCCCACATCAAAATACTCTCTAACCACCCTTGTCTTTAAGAAAATCCCATTCCACTAAAGTATGTAGTTTGATACAATGTGTATGTTGGCTCTACGAAGTTTGTGCCTGATTGGCATCAACCGTGTAAAAGAGTTGCAGCAAACCAGCTTCTCCTAGGTCATGTGACTTCTGCCGTAACCCCTGTGTTATGTTACTGGCTAAAAATTACCCGCGTGGCAACGATGATTGCCAGCCCAGTGCAGTGTCAAATGGAAACACTGCAATTGTTACCACAACTACACTCTACATGAGACCTATGGGTAGACTAATATTGCATACTGGCGATCTAATGAATGATGATGCCATACCAGTTCTGATGCATAATTTATGCAAGTGGAAACTAAGGGTGACTGGTACACCAGCTATGGTGCCCAAAGATTCACCGAAAGACCGTCTCAGTTGACAACGTTGATTATACGAAGATCAATGAATCCTAGTGGATTTCCCCAAAAAAGAATTATAGGAAATCTTCAAAGTCTGACACTCAAATTAATAAGGCTGAGAAACTTGCTGGTGAAACCTTTAACGTGGGATTGAATGATGTCTCACTAACGTTCAGCATGGTCTCCTGGGAGGTTGAAGAGTCAATGGACAAGGACCCCTCAGTACGTCATACGTATAGTCCGAACCTGGTCGAGTCCGCCACCACGCATATCCCACCTGAAACGAGGTATTTCCATGTAAGGATAGATAGGGTCATTGGCCACCAGGGTGGCTTGGTGGTGGTAACTACCGCCTGTGGGTTCAACCAGCATAGTTATTAGGGTTACGGAAGAAATAACTCGTGATAAGATACTCAACCATGTTGAATTAGATGACATTTTGGCACTTCAGTGGCGCTGTTTTCGTACTGAACACTTCAGTTCAATAAACCTCCTCACTACGGGGAAAGGCTGCTTGCAGCCCGTGTTTGCAAGCCGCCAATCGCCACCGTATTTATAGACTTTGGCGGGAAACCTGATGAAGTGACTAACGTAAAATTACTGGAAAAACTCTCCTGTTTGAAGGTTGATAAGCTTTTGGCAGGCCTTCCGAATCCACCCTATAAGGAAGGACCAGATAGGCTAATCTTATTCTCTATGTCACCGTAGGAAAATGGTTGATCTCATTCCAGAATGCCGTAATCTTAATGATACTTCCGAATTGATACTTCTTATTCTTCCTCCCTCTCCAGCACTGACTATTCCTGAGGGCACTACGAGGAAATCCAAAAGCGACTTAGCAAGAATCTCCGCTTCTCCCCTTATGTGATTGATGAGTGGAGCCCCTTGCCTAAATAATTAGCATCGGCCCCTTTGTCCAACGCGTTCATGAAGAAACTGGACTACATCGGTTGTACAGGTATGAATCAATTTCCATGCAGTTCTCACGTTTCTTTTCGGCAGGTTATCTCAGTCTTTACCTATCCAGTCACTAGAGGGGGTGAGGGTTGCTTGTTATTAGAACGGAGCATCTCAATCGAAAAAGTATCAAGAAATTGGCAAGGAGGACAAGTGAAAACAATGTCTTCGTATTAACAAAAAACCAGTATTTGTATTCGAATATTACCCGGAGAAAACTAAGCTTCAGACAAATACTTCCATTTTTACACCTCATTCGTTTTGCTAAAGAGTAATGGTGAAAAGTTCATGAGGGAATATGTGCGAGTGGTTTATTTACTATGCTTCATTAATGAATCCGGAACTGTATAAATCACATACGCTCCTGCCAGTTCACATCAAAGATTCATGATCTTGCCTAAAATTATGACTGTGAGCCGGAGATCTACATTTTTCAAGCCCTCCATCCAAAAGTAATTAGTTTTGTCTCAGTGCATCAGGTGGACGTCCATAATACCCTGTCCACGGTTTTCACGAGTAGTGACAACGCTTTGGTTGGCAAGACACTTTTCTGGACAATTTCACAATTGGTTAATGCCGGATCTTAATGTTTATGAAGCTGTGGTTCCTGTTGTGAACACAATCACACCTCGACCAAATAGGGATAGTCTTAGTCAGGGTTTTCTCACCTTATAGATTATTTTCACTGACAACCAGGCCAACCTGTCAAAGTGAAGCGTCTTTCTGAAATGAGAAAGAAGCAAAGCAGTGTGTTTGTCTTCTAACTGGTCTTGCTATAGCTTTAGTCTACGCGCTTCATCTTCTAAACATTTAAGAACACAATTTCATGCTTTTGTGCACCCTAGGATCTTTACCCTTATCTAAAATGGTGGTTAGAAAGGAATCCGACGTTAAGGCGGGGTGTGAATCTACGGGAAATTCCTCTAAACGTTACGAATGAAAGGTTAATGCAGGTCCGGTAAAAGTATCGGTGAATGCGAGGAGGACTAATACACATAGGTTCACGGCGGATGCTGATTGTGCACTTAGTAACCTAGAGAAGCTGCCAAAGCTGGAGAGTTTATCCAGTAATCAACCAGACTCGGTGATGGGTCCGGAGCCTTTGAATTCAATGGGAGGTTTGCTGAAAATCCAAGCGAACTTTAAGGCTAGGAAATCGACATGAAAGGAGGACTTAGAGGGCTTCAGCTTGACGCTACAGGTATCGTTGCACAGATCACAATAACTCCCGTGTTTTAACTTGAACTTGCCAATGACTGTCAAGGTTAATTTGTGTGGCACACTGAAGAAAAGCGTGAGGTAGGTTCCGAGTTACCTCATAAAAAGTGTCGCGCATCCAGACTGGCAGTTTCGCTTGCACCGAATATCCTAGTGGCCAAGGTTTAAAAGGCATTTGGACACCCTGTATTTTGCTTTGCTTTTGACGTGTATACCACCAAAAATAAATGGACTACATTCTAGCAGAGGGTGTGTGTGGGCCCTATGGATCAGTAGTTCGGCGTCTTTGGAGTAGAAATTGCGGTCTACACATCCCTGCAAGATTTTGGATCATCGTGTCTGTGATGTAACCTATTCAGAGTGTGCAGGGTCACTTGAGAATCTTGGTACAGGCTCGCAGACACTTCAGAGGGTAGCCATTTTCATTGAGTGGAGATGTGGTCGGACATCTGTTGACGCAGCACCAAAATATATCTAGCCACACTAGCTTGTACTGAGCTGAAGTCTCCCAGCAGTAGGCCATGTGGGTATGCTGTCAAGCCCCCCTTTTGTTAACTCTCGTAACTGGGAGAGACCAGCACAAGTGAGTGTGCACATAACTTTGAGGTCTCCAGCCCACACAGATGGTTTGCCATGTCCATAGCAGCTGAAACTGTCACTGATGTGTAGGGCAAATGGAAGGAGGCCTAATACAATGCACTGAACCCATCAGTCGCAAGCGCCATGGGTTTCGAACTGTTTGTTTCCACTTTTACCACCTGAGTGTGATTATTGCGAGATTTAATCCATCCTGACAATGCAAACAGGAGTCCCGGTGACTGAAATCTGACTGCTAGCAGTAAATGGATAACTCTGTCGAATGCTTTAGATATTTCTAGATAAATTAAATGGACTAATTGGTGTCTAGTGTGCATGAAAGTTATGGAGTAAAAGAAATCAGGATGATAAGTTATGCGCGATCCCTATTTCAGGAACCCATGTTAGCATTGTTATTAGGCATGTGCTGAAGAACCCTTTTCTTAGTGACTCACTCCATACTTCTAGAAACCACAGGTGCATGTTTCTGATCTGTTCTGATTGGTTGATGTTTTCGGACCTGATTTAAGCCTTGGTAGGACAAATTATGTCTTCTCAATATCAGGGTGTGCGAAAGATTCTAAAGACAGAAAATGTATCCAGTAATAATAATCGAGGATCTAGACCACCATGTTCGCAGAAATACGGTGGTACTTCGTCTGTGACGGCGCTACGGTAGGTTAATACTCAAAGATGTGAACTCCACAGTCCTATTGGCTTTGACAGAAGAGAGGAGTAGTTTTTTATGGTTCAGACCGCACTCATATCACAGCGAAGATTTGTCGACTCCAGATAACTAGCCGAAATATATCGCTTGACATTCCACAAGTGTCAACCGGAATGGTATGAGGTTTATTGTGGAGAATAAGGACAGGAGTGTTATGTTTTCTTAGAGGTATCTTTCGCAAGAATTAACACAATACAACTGGCCTATTATCCTTATTACTGAAGACTGAAAGTGATGTCAAAACGTGGATTGGGAGGACTGAAGAGCTGACTACCAACCTGACAGAGCTGAGGAGGTTGGTGATTGAAAGGATCCGGAAATAAGTAAAACTGAGACTGTTAGGTGGAGAGAAAAATTGCCTGAGTGAACCACTAGATACTCCGGTGAAAGCTGTGGCCTCTGGCCAAAAATGTATTGAGTCCGCCTGAGTGTGAAATATATCAATCATACATTCTATTACAGTTGCGGAGCTAATACCCTTCCTTGCAATCAACTGCACGAAATGGCGAACAAAAGGATTTATTTGCCTTCTAGTTAATACGTTGCGTGTTCACTGACAAATAATTCCCAGGAAACACATACCATATCTTTGACAGTGCCAGGCATCCATGATTGTCCCAGTTGTTTCAACGAACTTTTCACGCTAAAAGAAGGCGGTTACAGA